AGCAGAATATGATGATTCTTGGAATCCTTAATAGTAAATCCTTAGAGTGCAATACTATATAATAAGGATTATCATGAATGAGATGATGAACTGAAAGAAGGTTATGGGTGAGATGGTGAACATGAAGAATATGGGTAGATGAAGCTTACGAGATGGTGTAGGTAAAATTCCTTGGCTAATGAGCAATAAGAAGGTGATGGTCATTTCCAACCTGCACTTATGTGTAACCAAAGTAACAAGGAGATGACAAAATTGAGAGGCATCCAATGTGAGGTGATTGGATGCACCCGAATTCAAGAACCAATCAGCAGTTGAAGCATCTTCATGAGCTGACAGAGCTTGTGGCATAGACGGTTGATTGGAGTGGTTCATATGGTGCTAGTAAAAAGTAGCTGAGTGGCTAGGTTTTACACAAATTTAGCATTCGACAGAGGCGAACAAATGTTGTCCACCAAGAACAGGTGACTAAAATGAGCAGCCCCCATGCGCATTATTAAACCTTCCACGAACACGACCATGAGAGCGACCACGGAAGGTTGCAATTATGAAGGAAAAATTTGTCTGAGTGACTGAATTGTGCTTTGAAATTTGATCAACTGTGATATTAACTTTTTTAGTGCAATGTAAGGCATATAAGTCAAACCGAATGGGTGTAGTTTGGTATGTATTGCAATTTTTAATGCATTAAATGATGGAGACAATCCATTAAGAGTGTAGAGGATTATATCTAAAGGTTCTATGATAGAACTGACTGCTGTAATATGATCATCTTCATATTGCTTGATTTCAGAGAGATATTGCATCATGGTTTTATCACACATTTGAAGCTGATGAAGCTCGTTTTGAAGTATTCGATATTTGTTTGTAGATTGTAAACAATAGTCTAACATAAACCAAATATACTTACATGATTCAAGGTTGAGTGCATAAGGTAGGAGAGATGAGGAAAGTATAGAGAAGTGTGCTGAAGCAAGGCATTGGTCAATATGCATCCATTTATGTTAGGCATTATGAACTGTAAGAGAGTTATCTGAGAGTAGAACTTGGTTGGGAGGTTTTGTAGTGGAACCATATAAATAACATGTGAAACTATTACCTGCAAATAGCTTGAAAATTTGGGACCACAAAACGGGGGAATTGTTGGTTCTTAGCTGAACATTGAGAACCGTCTTGACTTTTAACATTAAGAATTTGAGCTGTGCGGGAAATGATATTTCTACCGTAGTCTGTGACAACAAAGTGGAAGCCGTAGAGGAAGATTTGTTGCTCACCATGAGAGCAGATAAGAAAGAAAAAAAAAAGCTTTAAAAACTCAAGATCTTTGATACCATAATGAATACTTTAACCTGCAAGAATAGGAGAAGCAGAAAAACCAGAGAGAATAAGAGAAGAGTAACATAGGAAAAGAACTATATCATCTGCTATCCCTTTACTATTACATAGTATAAACATATAGTACTTGTGAGTTCAATAGTTATATTAAAATACTCAGGATCACATCAAAGCCAGAGTTGGTTATAACACAAGGTGAAGTAGAGCATAGTGTGATACAGATCCATTTTTGACCCTCTATTTGTGGGTTTTGGCTAGGGCTTCACGAGCCATTGAATTGGCTACATATATGGCTGTAAAATAATGATAAGGCTATGAAATTGTATGGCTTAAATACACACGTGTATATTTGTTGGTAAACTCATAATATCATATTGCTTAGTTGATCTAAGGAAGTCAATGACCTGACTTGAGTTAGGAAGGTTGTCTGCTTGGGTCAGGTCTTATTCACTGCCGCTTGGGTCAAGTCTTTGTAGGCTTTGGCGAGCCTATCTTGACTTGGATTGATTTCATGTGAATTAGTTTGACTTTGACTTTGATTGGATCTATAGATGTTTGAAATTGGTACGTAAACAAATATAATTGAGCTCCAATGTTACTTGGATTAGAACTGAATCAAATTACTTAATAACCGAACCAAAACCAAATCCAATTCTGAATTTTTGGTTTGCTTCCGGTTCAAATTTTTAATCCAATTAATATTCGTGAGATTAACATTATTCTAATTTGATTTGTGTCTTTGAAAGAGGAAGGTTGCTTCAACTTTTATTTAGTCTTATCTTATATTATTAAATTTCAACATTTTAATCTCAATAATTATGTAACGATTACATCTTTATTAAACAAAATTAGTAGCTTGCACTTTAATAATGTAAATGCTACTGTTTCACACAAGAGCAAGTGCAAATCTTCTGAAATTGTTAGGAGATAACTATACATTTGAACAATAATGTTTGGAATCATCAAAACTACATAAGTTGCATAAATATAACTCATTCAAATAGCAACTATTCAAACACATATGAATATATTTTTAAAATTATAAATGGCCCAGTCCATCCTAATTTAAGTTTTCCATGATAAAATTTCTTTCCAAAATAAAAAATCCAAACATCTTATCTAGTAGAAAATTAATATTTGAGAACCTCACATCCATACAATTTTTTCAATTATGTATTATAAATCATTGTATTTTTATAAACTTTATTTCTGAGTTCTTTTAGTTTTTTTTGCAATTGAAGAACTCAAAAATTTTAGAACATAAAATGAATTTTCATTCTCAGAGATAAATTATTTCCACTTTAAGGAAGAATACTTTATCTTCTTTCCGCCCATTATCTTAAAAGCCCAAGAAGGATAAGAACAACAAGAATAATAACCGTGGAAGGACTCTCACATTGTTAGAGAGAAAAAGAAAATTGACAAAAATTGTTATTTTTTAAATTAATAAGCGCTATAATTTTTGACTCGTAGAAGAGAAGTAATGCCAATCTTAGTGCTACAGTGAAGTTTTCTTATTTTTTATTATTTTTTAACAACAAAACTAATGATCAAATTTATAAATATAAAACTATATCAATCTACAAAGCTCACATGAACATAAAAATTGGTTGCCTCCCAAATAGTGCTAAGTTTATAGTCTTCAGTCAGAATTGCCTACATTTAATAATTTGGTTCAGCTACATCACTACCACTCCTCTAGTAATTTTTATTAGGATCTTTTACTTTCTCCATAGAATTAACTTCAATATTACTAAACAATGATCTAAGAGGCATAATACTAAATGAGATTGCAAGATATCCTAATTGAGTTTCCAAATTTTAATAGAAGCAGCTTGACTTTACCATTGAGTTCCTAACTAATTCAGTATCTCTTTCAAATATGACTTTCTTTTCCGAAACTTATTATTTTGATTAAATCTAAGAGAATAAGAAGGGATAGGATTAATGACAAGCCATTGAGGATTATTCCATTTTTTACATTGATTATTTTGACCAAAATTTCATTGATTATTACCACCAATATTATTTGACTAATTAAAATCAGGATGGTTCCTATTACCTGGATTATAGGTATTGGAATAGGGATTATTTTGTCTTTCAATAAAATTCATATTTTTAAGGCCATATACACTATAATTTTATTATAATTCAAATCTCAATATTCTAATTGTATAGATAATCAAGATCATGATATGAAATTAACTTTTATTATGATAACTTCTTGGAAATTATTGTAACTTGTGCAGTCAGAATTAACAAAGTATTTGATTCATAAACTATGGCTATTCTCTTAGGATTTACATAATTTTTAGGCCTCTGGAAATTATTAGTAGTCATTTCCTTTATTAGTTTAAATGCTCTCTCAATTGGCTTAGACATTAAAGATCCTCTACCTATAACATCTATGATTGACCTTAGAGATCCTACTAATTCAATATAAAAGGTCTGAATAATCAATCAATCGGGTAAGGCATAGCGATGGCTTTTCTTAAGTATTTCTTTAAATCTCTCCCAACTTTCATAAATTGATTCTCCTTCAAATCAGGTAAAAGATGTGATACCATTTCTAAGTTTGATAATTTTTTAAAGTGGGAAATATTTAACTAAAAATTTATGAGCCAACTCCTTCTAAGTGGTTATAGAGCTTGGAGGTAAAGAATTCAATCATACCTTAGTTTTATCATTTAATGAAAATGGAAGCACTATAATCCTGATTGGATCATCACTAACACCATTATACTTAAAAATTACATATTTATCTAAGAAACTGGCTAAGCATAAATTCAAATCTTCAACAGGAGTTTCTCCAAACTAAAAATTTTAACCATCAAAATTATGGAATATTTTAATTCAAAATTATTAGCATGTATAGTAGGTCTACTAATACTCTCATGGATTTTATCTACCACAGGGTTAGCATACTCTCTAAGAGGTATAGAATAATCCTGATCTAGCTTTGCATTTGACATCTCTTAAATATTTTTTGTTTCTAAAAATTTTAAAGGGTCTGAGAATCAAATAATAAAGGTTCTTTTCTAGATCTATAAAGCATACAATAATAAATAATATAACTTTTTGAAAATTCTAATTATATTATTGAATTAATTATGTAGAAATATCTACTTATATATTTTATTTAATTTCTTTAATTATTGATTTTATATTTTTTGGTTGCATGCTTTATAACCATAGAAAGAAACTTTAATTATTTGATCCTTAAATTGAGAGAATCCTTTCTAAAATTTGAAAAGCTAATTTTTTTTTGAAATTGACTGAACTTGGGTTGTATAAAAATCATTATATACCTCTTAAGGACTATGCAAACCATTTATTAGATGAAATTCATTAGATAATAATTATACCAAAAATCCAAGCTAATAACTTTGAATTAAAACTTGCTCATTATTCAAATGGTTGAAAACTCTCAGCTTGAGGAAACTCAAATAGAACATCCCAATTTATATTTAGCTAGTTCTATAGAAATTTATGCAACATTTAGGTATAATAGTTTTAGTGATGATGTTATTAGACTTAGATTATTTTCCTATTCTCTAAGAGATAAAGCTAAGATGTGGTTGAATTCGTTATCCCTATGCTCCAAAACAACTTGGAATGAGTTAGCTCATAGGTTTCTTGCTAAGTATTTCTCACTTTAAAAAACTATCAAACTTAGAAATGATATAACTTCCTTCTTTTATTAAGTTTGAAGGATAATCCATTTATGAAAGTTGGGAAAGATTTAAGGAACTGCTTAGAAAATGCCCTCGCCATGCTTTACCTGATTGGTTGATTATTTAAATATTTTATAATGGATTAATAAGATCTCATAGAGACATAATTATTGTTGTAGCTAGAGGATCATTAATGTCTAAGACATTTGAGAAGCATATTATTTAATAGAGGAAATGACTACTAAAAATTTATTTTAGTTTATTAATAGAGTAAATCCTAAGAAAGTAACAAGAATGTATGAATCTGATACTTTATCAATCTTGAATGGACAAGTTGTAGCAATTTCTAAGAAATTGAATACAATAGGAGTAAATTCTAAATTAGGAACTAAATCATTGGGGGATTAAAATTCAATTAAAATTAGTAATGTGCAAGGGATTGAAAAATATTAATTTAATTAGAAGAAAAAATAGTCCTTATTCAAATACATATAATATAGGTTGGAGTAACCATCCTAATTTTAATTAGTCAAATAATGTAGGTGATAACAATTAATGGAATAATGGTTGGAATAATCAAAGAGTAATTTGGAGTAAACTTCAAGAACCCGCTGTTAATCCCGGACTTACATATCCTCTAGGATTTAATCAAAGCAATAAATTTAGAAATAAAAAACTATCATTATAAGATGTAGTAATGCAGTTAAGAAATTAGTTGCAAAATTAAGATGCTTTTATTAATAATTTAGAAACCCAATTAAGTTAGCATGCAATTTCAGTCAATAGTAGGCCTCTTGGATCTTTACCTTGTAATACTGAAGTTAACAAACATGAAAAAGAAAAATGTCTTAGTGGAAGTTATTTGAAGAATGGAAATAATGTACCCCAGCTAAATTGAAAAATCTATGCAAGTCTTACTATAGACTAGGAACATGGCACTGTGTGGGAGGCACCATAGCTCAGAGTTTAGTTGTGTTAGGTACAGATTATTAGTTTTAATAATAATAATCATTAGAGTTTGCTTAAAAAAAAAACTTTAGATAAGAAAATATACCACAACACTGAGCTTAGTATCGTAGCACTTGTTCGTGATGGATATATTTTAAATTTAAAATTTGGCTCCCCAAAACTAGTTAAAACTATAAAAAAGATAAGTTGAAAGTATTATTTTCTATCCTTGACTTATCATTTGAAGTAAATTATTGTTGAGTACTCTCCTTTCATTCTTGAAACTTAAAATCCGTGGATGTGAAGAAAAGAATGCATTCTCCCTCTAGGAATAGAAGTGAAAAGCAATTGAAAAATGATAATTCATTTTCTCTTCTAAACCTCCATAGCTCTATTATTATTAATAAACTTCATTAATTTGAAAATGAAGATCAAGAAGACACAAAAAAGATATAATGCATAACTAAAGAAGATGCATGTATGTGAAGTTCTTGATCATAAATTTTATCCGGGTTAAGATGTCATATTGTTTGATCATAAAAGGAAGTTTTTCCATGGAAAACTTAAATATGCATGGTTTGTCCCTTACACTATTATTAGAATATATCTTAATGGTGCCATAATGATGACACATAAGAAGATTTTTTACCTTTTTAAGGTTAAGGGGCATAGATTGAAACCTTATGGATTAGAAGAATAAGAAAGTCTTCATTTTTCTATGTGCCTAGTTTTAGAAAGGGAGATGACAGATATAAGTAATCTTTATTTTTAATTATGTATTTTAAAGGAGAATTTATATATACTAAGAATGGTCATGTTCTTGGAGATATGCCTATGAGAGTCGTTGTTGTATCTGATGATGCCTTAAAGCACTAGTTATCCTATGTTTGTGTTATTATTTTATATCAAATATTTGATGTATTGTTAACACTCATATTAAACTATGTGTTTGTTTATATTTATATTTATATTATATTATATTCTCCTTAAACTTAAATTTTTTCATCATTTCAATTAATATTTATGCATTTTGATTATTTCACTAACCTTAATAAAAAACTATAAATAAAAATTATGTAAAATTAGGATAATAATAAAACCCATTATTATAGTTTAAATGAACATTGTTTTATACTTCATAGATTGGGAAAACTAAAAATTATCAAACTTATATCATTTAAGTTTTTGACTTAACTAGAATTTATAAGTTATATTTTTATACATTGATCTAATAAAATCCTAGATCAAAGTTTAAATGAACATTGTTTTACATTTCATAGATTGGGAAAATTGAAAATTAGCTAACTTAGATCATTTAAGTTATTGACTTAACCGAATTTATAAGATTTTTTTTTATACATTTATCTATGAATTGAAGATGAATTGTTAAAGTTAACTAATATATAAATATATATGAGTAGAATAAAATTCAAAATCTTAAAGAAAATCAAATTTTGAATTAGTAAACTTTAAATCCTTACAATAATATCATTAAGATTATAAAAAGATGATAAACAAAGCTGAAACTCAAAATCATTAACTATATACTCACAAAAATAAAAAAAAGAAAACAAACTTGAAAAAAATTCTAGAAAGAAAAGAAATAAAGAAAAAAAAAGAGTAAATTCAAAAATTAGTATAAATTAAAAGCTTAGATCTGACTATAATCTTATACTAAAATTCATAAAGAAAGAGAGAACTAATATGAATAATGGTGAACTAATGAATATTCAATTTTAACAACATTAACATCTAATATTTAATCTACATTATTCTATTAAAAATTTAGTAGTCATTGATTATCTTTAAAACAAGTAAATTCTAATTAAGCAATGATAAGAATGACTAGTTAGGATAATTATTAGTATTTTCCAAACTAGAATTATAACTTTGTTCATTTTCATTACTTCTAGATTGCAATATATTATCCTATATTTTAGTAGTTTTAAATTATCAAATTGTAAATTGGTTATTCACATGGATATTAAAATGTTCAAATGAAGTCTGATTTTAAATTTATATTTTAGGGTTTAGGACCCAATTCATAAGAAACAATTCTGAGATTCAATATAATAATTGAAAATTTTAATCATATTAAAATCTACTTTGGAATATAATTTTCCATAATATTTCCTTAGGTAAAATCCATTCATAGGAAGCATAGGATATTCACCTTTTAATAATTAATTTGTAACATTTTCTATCCTAGAATATATGGCCATATGTATCGAATAGTACGACATTCATCATGTAGTATGATAGGAAGATTAGAAATTGAATATAGAATGTTGATTAAATAGAGGGCTGTGATCTGTGCATTTTGTAATAATCATACAATATGAAGGAGAATTGTACAATACGATAGGGATAGAAAATTAGTAATTTTGGAAATTCAGTGAGATAAGTATGTGAAGATCAAGAAACAACTTAGACCAATTTTCTTTATTTTGTCAAAAAAAAAAATTTTTTTTTTTGGATGAAGCATGAATGTCTATAACACCTAGTTTTGTCCTCAAGGTGCTAAATGTGTCATAGCCTAGTGGTTTCATGAATATGTCTGCCAATTGATCTCCTGTAGCTATATGGTGTAATTCTATGTCTCCTTTGACAACATGATCTCTTATGAAGATATGTCTAATGTCTATATATTTTATTATAGAGCATTGAATTGGATTTTTGGATATACAAATTACACTAGTGTTATCATACATAATTGAGATGGTTCCTACAGATAATCCAAGATGTAAAAGTTATTATTTTAACCATAATTTTTTGCAACACAACTCCCTACTGCTATATATTCTGCCTCAATAGTGGAAAGGGCTACTCAATTTTGCTTTCTACTGGACCAGGAAACTAAGGATTTCCTTATAAATTGATAGGTTCCATAGGTGCTTTTCCTATCTAACTATATCTTACAAAATCAAAATTTGAATACCATAAGATTTCAAAGGAGTGTTGTGTCTAGGATACCAAATTCCTAAGTTTGGGGTGCCTAGTAGATATCTAAGGATTCTCTTTACAGTAGTCAAGTGAGATTCTTTAAGGTCAGCTTGGAATCAGGCACAGAAGCACACACTAAACATTATATTCAGTCTACTAATAATTAGATCGAGGAGAGATCCAATTATTCCTCAATATTTTTTCTGGTCAACTGATTTCCCATTTGGGTCTTTGTATAGTTGATTTGTAGAACTCATGGGAGTGTTCATGGCCTTAGCATTGTCCATTTCATAATTTTTTAGAATATCCTTAATATATTTGGTTTGGCTAAGGAATGTTCCATATTCCATCTATTTTACACTAAACCAAAAAAAAATTTTAGCTCTCCCATCATGCTCATTTTAAACTTGTTACTCATTATTTTTGAGAATTCATCACACAAGGTTTTATCTAATGATTTAAATAGGATGCCATCTACATAAATCAGAATAATGAGAATATCATCTTTTACCCTTTATAGGAAGAGGGTGGTGCCTACACTACCCTTAACAAATCCTTTAACTAGTAAGAATGGGTTAAGTCTTTCATATCAGGCTCTGGGTGCTTGCTTTAACCCATACAATGCCTTTTTTTTATTTGAATGCATGATTTGGGAATTATGAGTTTTCAAATCCTAGGGGTTGCTTAATATAAATATCTTATTTGATTACCCCATTTAGAAAAGCACTCTGAATGTCCATTTGATATAATTTAAAACCCTTGAAGTAAGCAAAGGCTAAGAGCACCCTTTTAGCTACTAATTAAGCTATTGGGGTAAAGGTTTCTTTAAAGTCTATGTCCTTAATTTAGTTATACCCCTTATCTATTAGTTTTGCCTTATTTCAACCTATGGTTCCTGTGTCTTTCACCTTTATTTAAAAGACCCACTTTGTTCCCACTAAACTTCGTTCTTTAAATTTCTTGACTAATTCCCTATCATCATTACTAATAAATTGGTTCAACTCTTTTTGCATTGCTAGGATCCAGAATTCATCCCCTAAAAACTTGATCTATACTCGTGGGTTCTATCATAGAAATAAATGCTGAATGACTAACCTCTTTTCTAAGTTCGTACCTAGTTCTCACACCTTCTGATGGGTCTCCTATTATTAATTCTTTAGGATGACTAGAAGAATATTTCCAATCTCTAGGTAATTCTTCTTGAGGTTCTAGCC